TGGGAGGTCCAAGGCGTGTCCCCAAGCAGCGCAACCATTCGCATGAGCACCTGCACTGGGAAATCGTCATGCAACAGGTCCCACGCCTTCTGCGCTGTCACGCTGCCGTTCGGCCTGGCGCTGGTCTTCAAAGTCTCCAGATTATTTCTGACGTCCCCGCGGACGAGCGTCCAAGGTAGCTGATTCGCTGGGATTAGCACCCTCCAGTGGAAAAATGCGTAAGCGCGGTGCCCTGCTCGGATACAATCACACTGCAACTCACGCGGGCTAGCGCGGGCCACGCCGGCAAGCGCTTCCCAAATAGAATCAGGGAGTTCCCGTAACCACTGCAGCTTATTGAGCAACCCCCGTTGTAGCTGAGGCGCAGTGTGCGCAACCCTATTGTCCTTAATAAGGCTCGTGATAGCGAAGTCGGGGATCTGGGAAACGACGGACGCTGCGACTACGAAGTTCCAAGCACTTTCATTCTCGATCCGCCAATACCCGTTCAAATAAAAGCCAGAAACATCAGGCTGCTCCAAAGCAAACGCAAGCATCGCTGGCAATCCTAAGAGATGCGCTGCCACCATGCGCCTTGCAGAGTGCCCTATCGAAAGCCACCTCGAATCTGTGTCCAACGCCATGCCAACGGCACGCTGGGGCTTTTTAGTATTTATGTTTGTTGTTGGCAATATTACTGATGCTTTGTTGAAGGCGCCCGACCGCATCCTATCCGCATCCCAGCCCCAGACTTGCCCTTCTGCTGTTTGACGCCCTCTTTTACCGCCAAGCGCATCTCCAACAGCCGCGGTGAAACCCGACAGACCGCAGAACTTCCCAGAAACATCCAAAAACGGCCTGGTGAGAGCCCCGTTCCCACAGCTCCAACATCCCTGGGATATCCCCGCGAGGGCCCACAAGCCTTTCAGGAACGCCCCGCGAGACCTCTGGCGACTCCCCCAAAGGCGAGCAATCTGTTGAATGCACTGCGCGCCCATGACTTCTACTTGCGATTTCTTCGGTGTGAGATCGCCCCTGGAATGCTTCGAAATAATGCCGAAAACATTGCAATAGAACCCCAATTCACTCGAATGGGGCCCCCTGGCGGCCCGAAGACTGTCCTGTAACCAACCGAGAGGGCCCGAGAACGCTGCATGACCGCCCTGGAATGCGCTCAGACGATCCCCTACAACTCTAACCGAATCTGTGCGTGAGAACCCTGCGCAACGGGCGCGCCCAGGACGGCCCCGAGGTTCCCGACGAGCCTCCGGCGAACCCCAAACATGCCCCCAAGAATCCCCCTGTCGGCCCCCAGGGGAACCCCGAGAAACCCCCATGAGGCCCCGGAGGAACCTCCACGCTGCCATACAGAATGTGCGGAGGGGGAGGGCAAGCGATGAGGAAAAAGAAGCGAATGGGGACTTTGAGAATGACGATGGCGACAGCGATGCGACGTAGAAGACACGCGCCAGTCCAGACAGGGCACTGAACCGGAGAGAAAATGACCTTCAAGGTTCGTTCCTGCTGCGCTGTCGCACTGGCACACTGGCGGAATTCGCCGCAAGCGTTGGGATATTTCTTAAACCTCCACACGGCCAACACCGCAGTTGACAAAGTATTCGTGATGTTGGGGTCACCCTCGCAATCCGAAGATAGGTACAAGCAGCCATCGCAGAAACGGAGTTGCAGGTGGACGAGGAGGGCAACCGTCGTCTCATCGATGCCCAATGTTTCCCATAAGAGCTTCCAATGCGCAGCCTCCTCGTCGCCCCACGGACGAACGAATTTGAATACTTCGTATATCCATTCCAGCAAGTACCTCCCGATTGCATCGAATGACTGCCGTATGGACGCAATCGAAATCCAAACGTTTTTCAAGAGATCCGCATCTTTGAAATGATGGGGCATTGACCACCGGAAAGCCGATTGGGCATCGTGCATAGCGCAGGCGACTATTTCAACCCATTCCGACAATGCCAAGATAGCTGTCTCCTCTTCCGTGTCCCCGAAAGAACAGCTGATCAAGTTGTGGAAATCAGTCATCAAGCGAGCTAAAGCGGTGATTCCGCATCTATCAAAAGTGTATGTCTGGATATAGCCGCCCTTATGACCGCGCTGGCGGGCCGTTTTCCAAATCTTGCGACAAGCCTCAAATATATGTTGTGCTTTCTTGCCGTTTGTCAGGGGCCGCGGAGGACGAATGTCGGCCACGCTCTCCACGTCGCCTGCGGCATTGGCCGAGCGTGCAAACTGGACCGCCGATAGAAACTCATGCGTAGCCTTACCTCGCCGCTGCACGGTGGTCCCCGACGGCAGCGAAGCTTGCACGCGCACGCTGACAGACATGGGCGTCCCGTCGGCGCTTGCATGCTGGGAAACTGTCCCGTGCTCTGCGCCATCAATCAGGCGCCCCGTGGCCTCGTCGAGGCCCTTTTGCCCGATGCAGCACAATCTCTCAGCATCGCGCACCTCCTGCTTGGTAAGTGACCTGCTGGTCTTGGACGCAAAGGAAATTCGTTCAGTTACCGAAGAAGTTCCAGCCATTGCGGCTCACGATACGGGCGATGACGATGGACACAATGAATGGTGTTAGTGACTGTAGGCGAATAGTGGGGATGGCAACGATGGTGATGAGTGCCAATGATTGCAGCGCTCCCTGGGGGACAGCAAACTGCGATGCTGTCGCCACTGTCGCGGGCCCCATGAGAGGTCCAGCGGAATGAGTTCCTGCGCAGATCAGAATGAAGCCTCGCCGTCCCTGGAGGACTGCGAACTGCGAAACGTTCGCCACTTTCGTGGGCCCCCTGGAGGTTCCAGCGGAGTGGTGGCCCGTCACTGCGTAAAACGCACAATAATCCGCATGCGCAACATAAGGAATTCACCGTTGGAGAGGCCCACGATGACTCTTGCGGACCGTTATGCGAACAACAGTCGACAAGGCTGAGATGCTGATCGGTAAACGACGCGACCGGATCAGGGCCCCCAGCGCATGGCAACAGGACGTCCTCTCACAGTACGCATGGGGAAGAGGATGCAGCCTGGATTGAAGATCTTCTGAACGGAGGGCTCAGGTTGGGCCCTCACGTTCTGAAAAGCATGCGCGCTCCCATTCCCATGCGCGCTCGCCTTTCGCCCCTCGCTCATGCTAGAGGAAGATATTCTTCCTCTTCCTCCTCCTCCTCCTCCTCCTCCGCCTTGGGCCCTGGGGCACGCGCTGACATGGATTACGGATCCGTGAATCTGGCGCGTGAGCGCCAGATCCGCGGATCGTGGAAAAGACACCCGAACCATGATGCCAGTGCCGCCTGATTTGGCGACGGAGCGCGTCGATATTGGAAGTGGGACCCGCCGCTATCTTCTTCAACTGCCTCCTCCTCCCCCTCCTCCTCCTTCTCCCGCGCCGCCCCGGCTGTCTGGAATATCGCTTGGTTTGTCCCGTGGGGCACCGTGGGGCAATTGTTTACGACGCCACCGTGAAATCCACCAATGCGAAAAGAGGTGTTCGCTGGCGACCGGTTATTCTGTCAGCCTCGTGCCAAATCCCGATCGCGAACCGAAGGCACCGTCGCCAAAATAAAGATCACTAATTTCAGTATTCGGCATTTAAAAAAGGTTGAGGCAGCACCGTCGCCAAATGATCCTTTGCGGCTGAAGAGAAATTGACAGTAGGGGGGCACCCGAATCAGACATACATCGCCGATAAATCGGTGATGGGCCCCTGGTAGCGACTCCATACGCTCCTGGGGGAGGTGTGCTATCAGGCCCATCTCGGCGAAGAATGAGCGATTGGGGGTCGATACATCCCCCCTTGAGCCTATCCACCTTAACATTGCCCAAGAACCACGATCAGGACCAACGCAAGGCAGCAGAGAAGAATAGGGAGAGGGAGAGTCGGAAAGGGGGGGCGGGCCAGTGGGGAAGACACAATCTCCCATTTCCCTTCCTTTTCCAGCTCATCCTCCTCCTGCTCCTCCTCCTCCTCCTCCTCCTCCTCCTCCTCATCATCATCATCATCATCATCATCATCATCAGCATCATCATCATCATCATCATCATCATCATCATCATCATCATCATCATCATCATGATCATGATCATGATCATGATCATGATCATCATCATCACCATCACCATCACCATCACCATCACCATCACCATCACCATCACCATCACCATCATCATCATCATCATCATCATCATCATCATCATCATCATCATCATCATCATCCTCTGTTCTTCTCCCGCAGGGGTCCCACAGAGGTCTCCCGGGCCCCTGGAGGTCACCGGATGACTCTGGAGCCTCTGGAGGCCCAAACGGAGCCGAAAACGCTCCAACATCTTGATCCTTGATTCTCAGACCCAGTCCCGCCAGCGCCTAAGTCTCAGCGGCAGGCGGTATGGTAGAGGAAGACGACGACGACGAACACCTGAAGGAGCAACATCCGTCTCAAAACACTCACGTGAATGCTCTAGGACAGGAGGCGGAAGATAAAGGAGGCGGAGGATGGGAGAGAAGGGGAGACGGATGGAAGAGGGATGAGGAGGAAGAGGAAGAGGAGACAGGAGGGAGAAGGAGGAGAAAGGGTAGACCAACACCTCCCAAGTCGTGATTTTGCTCGACGTGGGCCCTGGGAGGTCTACACCACTTTCCCGTGACTGGCTTTTCATCCCGAGCAGTTGCCCGACGGTCCCAAGGCACGGTAAGGGCCCTTGTTCACCGAGAACAGAAGAGGGAGGAGGAAGAGGGAGGCGGAAGAGGGAGGAGGAAGAGGGAGGAGGAGCGCAGGAAGGAGCGAGGAGAAGCAGCAGGAGGAGAAGGAGTGGGAGAACAACGCCTTTGGGAAACCAGAGATACTTCTGGGGTGCGTTCTGACGAGACCTCGGGAGCGAATCCCGCCGTGGCGACGAGGGCCTCCCAGGAGGCCCAACGAGGCTAAGACGAGGGAAGGGCAGCGGTATAGTGTCGTCAGCGCTTCCTGTGCGGGAGGGGGGCGAGGAGAGAGCAGCAGCAGCCGAGTCGCCTTCGCAGGCTCTCCGTGACGCTGCGGCTCCGCGGCGTGGTCAGGAGGGGGGCGGCGTTTGCGGTGTCCTGCCACGGGCGGGGCCGGCGCGGGCACCGCCGGGCAGTGCCCGCCTCGCCTGCCGCCCCGATCGATCGTGGGAGGCTTCGGTGGAGGCCTCCCCGATGAGCGACGGGAAGGAGCGGCTCTTGCACGACGGCCTGGCGCGGGGAGGTTGCGCGGGCCGCCAGCGCGGCCAACGCGTGGAGCAGAGGGCGCTCACGCGCGACCTTCCGCCGGCAGCCTGCGCGCGAAGGTCCGCGCAGTGGACACCATTCTGGTTGTCCGAGTACACGGGTTGTCGGAGGATCGCGCCGCACCCCCGATGCATCGGCGACGTCAGCGACGAGAAAATCGGGCTCAACATCGGGTCGCATCGGCGATGCGTCGGCGATGCGGCGCGATCCTCCGACACCATCTGCTCGGACCCCGTTTGGGAGGCCTACCATCCAACCGACGACATGCGACTGTCCGACTTGTTGCTCCAGCCTTCGAGCTCTCGCGCGCGCGCCCGGCTGCTCGTCCGGGCCCTGCCATATCTCCAAGTCGTCAAGCACAAACGCGACGGGGGGCGTTTCTTGAGGGTCGGGGGCAACTCATGGGAGCCTCCCGTACCATCCTGCTGGATCTTGCGAATCGACGCCAGCCGACGCGAGCCGGCGCGAATCTACGCGAGATCGGCGCTAATCGGCGCCAAACCATCGATTGCCAGACGATACAGCACGCGAGTGCAATCTGAAACACTGCATTCCGAGGGCACACCAGGCTCCCCTGATCTGCTACCAGAAAAAAGTGTGCGGCCTCCGGGAGCTTGGAAGGCAAGAGGGGGCAATGGCCGCTGCCGTTCCGTGGTGGTCGGCCAACCGGCTTCGTCGGGCAACGAAGGCGATGTAATCCCACCCGTCCTCTGGGCGTAGGTGGTCTATCAAGTTCACTCCTTCCTCTTCCACAACCCCCTTCTCCCCCTTCGGAGAGAGGTTAACCCCTTCCCCATACCCCCGCTCCCAGGGGCATGGATGGGAGGGGGACAGAAGTGCCAGGGGATCACTTTTCGCTCAAGATGGCTCCAAGAGGGCCTCCGATGCTCCAAGATGGCATTCAAAATGGCTCAAGGTAGACAGAAATTGTTCAAATTGAAAGATACGTTCCGACATACCTCCAAAGGCCCCAAGTTGGCCACCAGAGGGCTCCGAGTGCTCTCGGAGCTGGCCAAAGATCACCCCAAGAGCCTCAAATCCTTCAAACGCCGAAAGGGAATCAATGATTGTTGCCTTCTCGCCTTTTCGCGTCCGACGGGCTTCTGAGGCCTCGGGACGGCCCAACAGAGCTCCAAGAGGGGCCCAATAGAGCTCCAAGAGGGGCCTAAGAGGCCCCCCCAGACGGCCACAAGAGCGCCCCAAGAACGCCCCAAGAGGGCCCCAAAAAACTGCTTTGTGGCCTGATGGGGGGCCCTACATAAGCGCCCCCCCCTTGGCCTCCAAGATGGCCCCAAGAGGCCCTGCACGGCTCCCAATATTCCCCAAAGAGGGCTCCAAGAGGGCCCCGGGACTCCCCAAAGAAGCTCCAAAGTGGCCCCACGGAGGCTCCTCAGCTCTCCAAATCATGCTACACTCCCCCAAGAAGGGGAGCTTCCCTGGTTATCCTTTCTGGATGGTCTGGCGGGGATATGCGAAGCGTTAAGAAATTAATGGCTATTGCACCCCCAGACGACTCTGGGCCTGCCCCCGGAGCCTGAGCCCCTGACCCAAGATGCCCCAGGAATTCAAAGTTTGGCACCATCTGGAGGTACCTTTGAAACGCGTATTGGCTTCTCCAAAGCCGCCTGCCTCTCCGACCGCCGAAGACTGGAAATCCCAGAAATTCCCCACAACCTGAATTGCTTGGGTGTTTGATTCATCTCGACCAGCTAGAAATTCTCTTGGCGCGGGCGGACAACACAAACTGTGAGCCACTGCGTCCTGCTCTTTGGATACAGGGCGGCCCGCGACTGCGCTGCAAGCCCAGGACGCACTCTGCGTGCACACACCGCGAGCACCGTGCGCACCGCGCGCGCAGTCTACCCCTTGTAAGGGGGCATCGGGTCGGAGGTGGTATCACGCTGTGGTGATGCCACGCTGACGCTGTGGGATGCCAGGATGTTTTGCCCATGTCACGAGACCCCCCTACAGCGTGCTGCAAGTTGGCCTCCTCTGGCCTGCGAGCCGCAGCCTCCGACCCAGACCGAGGGGAACGCAAGCCTGCGATTGTCGCTCCTGGCCGCCTTCGCGTTGCCAGGGCGGCGGGCGCGTGTCAGGCCCGGAGGCTGGAAGAGAGCGCCAGGCAAACCGGCTGCAACCCACGAACCGACCTGCAATAGGCAAACTCATGAGGTGAACCGTGGCCTGGGAGAAAGCGAGCGTGTGAAAGGTAACGAATGACCCCCCTCCCGAAGCACCGGCCGCAGGCTAGAGGAAAGGTAGAAATACGCACCCCAGGTGACGCAGCCACATCGCGAATCTAAAGAGCGCCAGGCAAACGGAGACACCGCACAAGCCGACCTGCAACAAGCAAACTCATGCAATGAGCCGTGGCCTGAATAACAACTCGACAATGCAGTTGCGACAGGAGGGAGGAGGAGGAGGAGGAGGCGGAGGAGCAGGAGGGAGGAGGAGGAGGAGGAGGAGGAGGAGGAGGAGGAGGCGGAGGAGGAGGAGGAGGAGGACGACGAGAAGGGGGCGAGCGGCGGCGGCGGCGTCTGCGCCCCTGGGCCCCAGACAGATCGCTCGGACGCCCGTGGTTGTCGCTCTCGGGGCCTCGACGGACGCGCTGCTGCAACGCCGTGACGCTGTGCTGTGTGCTGTGCTGCCACGCTGTGGCAGCCCGCTGTAGGACGCCACGCTGTGCTGCTACCCCTTGGTGATGCCACGGTGTGTAGTAGATGCCACGAGGAGCCACACTGTGATGCCACTCTGTGACCTTTCGCACGCGTAAGCGAAGCCAATCGAATGACCGAGGGCTGAGCGAGCAACACACCGTAGTATTGATCTCCTCCGCATCGTGCGACGAGTCCAGCGATGGCGGCAGTGGGTCCCGACGTTTCAAGAGTTACAGAAGTACCTCCCAGCTCAACATATTGACATCATATCTACGACCTCGCTTGCCAGGCAGCAGGTGGACCAACACCTCTGCGAGACCTGTAGCAGGGTCCCGCGTACGCGTGGCGCACAGCTGCCGGGCACCTCTGTTTCTGAGCACCGGTATGAGCCCGATGGCTACCAGTGCCAATGCACCCCGAACGTGCACGGCTCGCTCTCTCTCTCTCTCTCTCTCTCTCTCTCTCTCCATCTCTCTCTCAGAGGGTGAGGAAGAAGCAGAAGGAGGAAGCGGTAAGAGTGAAGACCAGAAGAAGGGAGGGTAAGACCAGCAGGAGGACGACGAGTAGGAGAGAGGGGGGAGGAGGAGGGGGGGGCCAAGGAGGGGGGAGGGCCAAGGAGGGGGGATGAGGGAGTACATGAGAGGGGGCAAAGAGCCGGAGGGGAGCTGGGAGCCAGTCGGCGTCCTGGGCAGCAACGACCAGTATGAGGAGAACGATCTGCTGGCGCGCCAGCTCCAGCGGTGCTGTACTGCCTCGGACGGATCAGCCCCGACCTGCCTTTGAGGGGCAACGCTAGGGTTAGGTCGAGCGTGTCCCCCTACAGGGGGTTTTGGATGAAACATAAACCATATTCAAAAAAAACAAAAATTATAAAAAAATCGTCCCCTGACTTAAGGCTAGGGGACACGCCCGACTTAAGGCTAGGGGAGGACCAGCTCAGGAAGGGAAGGGGGGGTTATCGACCTGGAATCGGCGATGCATCGCCGATGGATCGGCGATATGCCCGAAAGCGAGTCCGCACGGTCCTGGGCGGCGGGGGGGTTATCAGGCCCTTCTCGGCAATACATGGGCGATTGGGGGTCGATGCATCCCCCCCATAATGAGCCCATGCCCCCCGTCAAGTTGCCCCTGAGCCCCACCTGCAGGCCCACGAGCACGTGCTGTCCACGGCGTGTCTTCGAGCCCTCCTGCGATCATCTCTGTAGGCAGTGGCGGGATCAGGCCGTCGCGCGCGCCGTGCACGGAGGCAGACGGTCTGGAGCCGAGGCCAGCATCCTCCACCTACGGCAGGTTCCTGCCCGCCCTCCTCCTCCTCCTCCTACTCCTCCTCCTCCTCCTCCTCCTCCTCCTCTTCCTCCTCCTTCTCCTCCTCCCCCTCCTCTTCCTCCTCCTCCTCCTCCTCCTCCTCCTCCTCCTCCTGCTCCTGCTCCTTCTCCTCCTCCTCCTCCTCCTCCTCCTCCTCCTCCTCCTCCTCCTCCTCCTCCTCCTCCTCCTCCTCCTCCTCCTCCTCCTCCTCCCCCTCCCCCTCCTCCTCCCCCTCCTCCTCCCTTCCCTTCCCTCCTCCCCTCCCCCCCCTCCTCCACCTCCCCCTCCCCTCCTCCTCCCCCCCCCCTCCCCTCCTCCTCCCCCCCCCCTCCCCTCCTCTTCCCCTCCTTCTCCTCCCCCTCCTCTTCCCTCCTCCTGCGGCAGGCCTGCCCTGGCGGCGCCGGCCCTGGCTTCTCCCGACGTCGCGCGGGTGGCTCAATCCTGATCGTCCTCAGCGAGACCTCGCTGCCGGAGATCCCCCAAGGGGCTGCCGGCCCGATGTCTCGTGCCGTGGGCTGCCTTCTTCGTGCGCTCCTGGGCCCGAAACCTGGGTCGCCCAACGTCGCCCATCGCGCCCCGCGATGCGCGATCACCTTCGAGGCCTCCAGCCCCCGCGACGCCCCTCGGAGAAGGGCAGCCGCTGTGGCCAAGACCGCGACGCGCGAAGCGCGATTATCTTCGCGCCCACGCGGGTGCCCTAGGAACCGGGCCCCCAAGAGGCAGGCAACCCAGGGTAGATAGCCGAGGGGCGGGCATCACGCGCATCCGCACAAGAGCTTCCCCAAAGACATTGACAATCGGAGCCCCTGGATACATGTAATGCTCCCCGCCTGGTGTACGGCAGGTTCGTGTCGTGACGACCTCAGCGCTGGTTTCTGCGAGGTCAGGGTGAGGGGGCCGAACGGTCTTTCACTGTCGCTGGGTGCGCGGCTGAAGTGGGAATCCGCGATGCGGATTCTTATTGTTGCTTGTTGTTGGTGTTTAGCCGACCCACCCGCGACCTTCCACGCGACCCAACCGCGACCCACCCGCGACCCAACCGCGACCCACCCGCGACCCAACCGCGACAGACCCGCGACCCACCCCGCGAACCGCCCGCGACCCGGCCCTCGACCCACCCGCGACCCAGCCGCGACCCACCCGCGACGCGACCCGCGACCCACTCGCGACCCACCCGCGACTCACCCGCGACACGGCCCGCGACCCACCCGCGACCCGACCCGCGACCCACCCTCACTGCTTTAACGAAAAATCGGCGCCTGCGGCGGGCCCTTTGTATGATACTTTGTAAAAATTAGGCGCCTGCGGCGGGCGTCTTCAGAGCCTCGCAGACTGCAGACGCCCCCGCCGCCCCCTCACTCTTATCCGCGACTGCGGGGTGCCAATCAAGTCTTTGCATTCGTTCGAGTGACGGTCGTTATGTGGTGGGGAAGTAATGGTAACGCTTGGGCGGATGGGGCATGTCGGGGCGGGCGTGCGGTGCGATGGCCATAATATGCGCGCGAGCACCAGCATGTAGGGGGTGAAAGGGATCCAGCCCCCCCCCACACACACACGCGCGCGATCGTCACTGTTACTTGAGAGGCAGGGCTGGCACGGGTAACGACTGTTACGCGCCAGAGGACAAACACACAACCTCTGATGCGGCGTGGACCGCTCAACCTTGGACAATCGGCGGCCTTCCGATCGCCAGGTCGTTCAATTAGCCGATTCTGGACCACTGGAGTCGGGCGTTGGCAGAACAGGGTTGAATGGGACCTGGTTTAGTGTAAATAATGATCCAAATCTCTCCACCCACAACCTCTTGATGCAAGAAGAAGACAGGCAGATGATAGGATGTCTTATACCGAATCAAACTCTGCGTTCGATAGGTGCGTCCACCCTCCCGCCTCTGCTGGGCGGGTTCAAGCCACAAGCGGCAATAGTAAACAAGAGAGTGCAAGCATGAGCGAGTGAGAGCAATAAGATAGATAATTCTAAACACCATCCTATAACTCACATCCTTGCTAATATAACTTTCACACTGGAAAAGGAAACGTTGCTAAAGAATGCCTTGGCAAATTCTGCAGCAAGCCTCCACAACATTGAATAATATTACTGGCTCGAACGATCAAACTATCGTCCGTGCAACAAGCAACAGATATCAAATAAAAGAAATCCAATACTCTCTGCTTGAACGGTCAAACTACCGTCCGTGCATCAAACAACAGATACCAATATAAAAGAAAGCATTACATCGAGCACCACATGCTAAGATAAAAGAAATCCACGAGCTGAGCAACATAAGCAAATCTTTACCTGAGGTCTGCGCACCGAGCAACATATATCAACATATAGAATATTTACCTGAGCTCTTGAGGGGGCGCCTTCACTCCTCATCTGCAGATGGTGACCAAACATCACTCATCATCTGAAATGGTAACCCAAATCACGCATCATCTGGAATGATAACTCAAATCACTCATCATCCTCAGCGCACTCGTACTGCTGACTTGATGATGCTGTATGCAATGTAAACCTTGATGCTCGGGTCGAGACTATAACTCCTGCTGTCGTCTGCGTCCAGCTTGAGACACCGTCCTAGGCAACTTGCGTAGTGCCTGTCCTTCGTATAAATCGTCTCATAGCTGTCGCCCTCGCACTTGCCACTCCTGATTATCGACGGTCCCATGGTCTCCAACCACTGTCTCAGTAGAGCACTATCTCCCAGCATGATTGGTCCATCTCCCATGATATCGTCGTCATAGGTCGATGGGTCGGCTCGTACTGCGAGTGTTGTCGTTGTAGTTTTCGGCGTAGCCTTCGCCGTCCTGGACTTGACTTTGATCTGCTTCTCGGGCAACCCCGGCTTGAACAGGTTGTCGCTGCTTGAACCATCCACCTCCATCGGATCAAACATGTCCTCGTCGTCGTTCTGCTGAGGCTTCATTACGTAGATAAATATGATGATACCCGCGATGATAGAGACTACTGTCACCACCGCAGGAGACACCGAAAGACAAACTCCATACACTGCAAGTGCACAAAGTTGAAACAGAAGTACAGCTTGGTCAGGTGTCTGGATGGTTCTCTGCGAGCCACCCCTCTCCATCAAGTAGTTGTCCGTTAGGTTTTCCGTGTAGAATGCCTCGACGTAGTCCTCGTCTTGAACCCTGTCCTTGTCGTCGTAGAAGCACTCGCCCACGTAGTTGTACGTCTCCACCGGCCACGGAAGCTTCGTCGTCCTTCCCAGTGTCGTCGTACAGCTCCTGCTTGACGTACTTGGCCATCTTCGCGTTGAGCTCGTCCACCTCCTTGTTGGCTGCCACCTTTTCTGGTCCAACAAGCTTTCGGCCGCGTATTGATGGTGCCCTCTCATCAGGCCCAAGAGTCCACACATTTGATGTACTTATTTTCCTCGCGCAGCCTCCTGGAAGTACTTTTGTCAAACAGTCCGCTAGCATCTGCTCACTCTTGACCCACTTGATGCGGACCTCTTTGAGTGACTGCCGCAATATAACCGCTTCCAAAGAAAGCCTCCTGTCCGTCATAGAGATATTATCCTTTGTGATCGTGTCGTATAGGCTCTTGCAGTCGGTCACCGAAATGCATTTCACCGGGCAGGTGTCGTGCGCAATCTCGGTCATGTCCATCTCCGGGTACAGGATCTCCGCCAGGGTCGATCTCGTCCATATCAACATGTCCACTGAATCCGCACATGAGTAGGCCTCCGCCGATAGAGTAGATCGCACCACTCGTTGAATCTTGGAAGACTGCCACCCAATGCAGTGTACCTTGCACTTGTTACTGTGGTCTTCGTTGATCTTCTGGTCGCCCAGCATGATCAAGTGTCCGCGTTGAAATCTGTGCTTCGGCAGATTGTCGAAAGCACTGTCGGTGACATTGATCACCATGGTCTCCCACAGGTTCAGGCCTGCTGAGAACCTGATCAGCAGGTCGCCCCGCTTCTGTATCCGCCTGATGGCCGCGTTGCCGTCCTGTAGGTCCTTCGCCGTCGGAGCTCCCAGCGTAGATGCCAGTCGGGATGCCTCGAAGGCCTGTTCGAAGCATATCACCCGCGCAGCCCATTGCAGTTGTCCAACTACCATTCGTAGTCCACGATGCTCTGCATGTGTCAAGGCGCTATCTGGTGCCTTGCTGCGCACTCTGGAGACACGCACAGTCTGCATCGACTTCACGTAGGCCTCCATGGTGACGTTGATGCTGCCGTCCTTGTCCTGCTTGTAGCCACGGCCACAGAACGTCGCTTGCTCTTTCCTCGCGTACTTGACCTCGCCAAAGTCGATCTCCTTCAGCAGGTCCTTCATGATCTTGGCGCCCTCCGGGTCGTCCTGCTTGATGCCCATGAGGAAGTCATCCACGTGCAGGCACATGATCTCAATGATCGTGCCCTCCGCATTGCGCTTGATGAAGGTCGCGGGCTCGAAGCTCAGGCCGTCCCATCCAA